TCTCTCTCTCTCTCTCTCTCTCTCTCTCTCTCTCTCTCTCTCTCTCTCTTTCTGGGACAATGGTTTCTTGTCACGGGTAGACTGTCAAACTTTTTAATGGACAGAGACAATGAGACAGAGCTACACTTCCTATTTGAAAGTGAGGCAGAGACCGGCAGACTGACATTTGGAAACATTCAAATTAAAATTTGGTGAAATTGCTCACCAGGGTTCACAGCCTCAAAAAGCAAAGCTGAACTCTGTCGCCACCTGCAGTCCAAATGGTACATTGCAAATTCCCCATCTTGGAAATAAGACTCCAAGGATCCCACCTTGCTTGGTAGGTAGAGATGAGACTGGAGTTTCTCTAGGAGGTAGACTCTTTGTTCAGATAAAATCACAGGAGACTATTTAGTTATGTAAATGTGAAACCCAACTTAAAACGTGGTCAAATAATCCAAATGCCAATGCATCAACTTTTTTATTTTTGCTGATTGATACTCAGGATAACTTGATGCCCATTAAAGTTTTATTTGCTTTCCTTTACTTACTTTTTCTTTCTTAAATTTGGATTGACTTCACTTGAACTAACATGTTGTATGTGTGTTTTGTGCAGTTGTTAATTGGGTCTACAGTGATGCTCAAGTTGGTATCTTAAAAACCTGGTCCAAAGAGAAATATCAGTCAATGTAAAATTTGAATCTTGGTTTGAAAGATTTAGGAGACTCTGAAAATATTGCCCTCTAGGGTAGAGTTGTTCTAGAACCTCTTGGAACAAGCTTCCTAAATGAACTGCTGCCCACATTAATTCTATGGCAGATATACACAGCGTGCACACCAGGGCACTGTTGTGTGTGTGTGCACACACAACGCACACAGTATACACATGACCACACACATTTGCTTGCCCACCCACCAAGTTCCTGAGTGCTACCTAAGAGATCTTGACACTATGCACCAGTCGCTTGTCCTGTCCCCACACCCACCATTCTGAGATGTAGAATAGTGGATAAGATCTTAAGTGTGCCTCTCCCACACATTTGCATAATTATAACTTCTGTGGCCTGGTTGGGACATTGGTGTGGTAGGGAGGAGAAGGGATTTAGTAAGAGTCTTGGGCTATGACAGAAAAGTATCCCCAGAGTTCCTGAATTGTATCTTTCTGAAGTAGCTTCTTCCACTTTTGATTTTTGGTACCCCAATGCCATAACATCCTGCCACTCACTAATTCTATCAGAGCTCTGCAGAACATGTATTTTCCTTGATTTTTCTAATTTATTTACTTATCTTGGTGTATTGGGGTGGCAGTAGGGGATGCACATGGCCCACATGTGGAGGTCAGAAGACAACTCTGGAAGCTGGTTCTCTCCTTTCACCATATGGGCTCCAGAAGTCAACTCAGATCATCAGGCTCATGAGCAAATGGATACCTTTTCCATCTAAGCCGTGTCACTGCACCCCAGTGTGTTTTTCCCTAGCCCTAGACATGTCAGGCAAGTGATCTGCCACTAAGCCAAGCTCTCAACCCCAGGCCTGCCCAACCTGAAGAAAGGTGATCTGCTTTCTATAATGTCGGGCCTCCTTCCATTACACCGTGTGTCCTCAGAGGGCAGAGGCCACACCTTCAGGGGCTTTGTGTCCTCTCCCCAGCACTAATGTAAACTAATGTAAGCGAATGTCAGATACTGAAAATATTTTTGTCTGTGCAGAGAATGTTATTCTGCTGGTATGAGGAGGCCTGATGAGCCTGGGTGGCAAATAGGTGCAGATCTCGAGAGGACACCAACAAAAAGGAGTCATCATTGTTAAAATAATTAACTGGGGGGCTATTCTAAGTCTTGAGTTCCTACTTTATCACACAGACATGCAGCCCAGAGAATGGTCATAGCCTAAGAAAATGAAACTTAGATTAACTAACCAGAAACTGCCAACTAACCTCTAATTAGAAGACAATTAGAAACTACTGACTAACATTTAAGCTGGGACTTTCCACTTTAAGCAATCAAATTTTTCTTCCTCTTGTTTCCTGAATGCCTTCTAAAACTATTCCCCCATCCTCCAATGAGCCCCCCTCGGTAAAGCCCTAAACCTTGTCGTTGGTGCTGCCTCACTCATGAATCACTCCGATAAACTCTAACAGGCCTAAGCTCATGTGCCTAAGTTTATCTTCTAGCTCATAAGCAAAGGAGAAATGCCACTGTGAGAAGATGAGGCAGGGGCAGGCTACCCATGGAACCAGCGCACAGAAATTGACCTCTGGAGGTACCTGACTGTGGGGTGAGGGGGTGGGGCTGAATGGAGGCTCTGGTAGCATCTAGGTCAATTCAGGGATGATCACAGGGGCTCTTCTTGGAATACCAGATAATTCCTCTGGCCCTCCCAGATAAGGCCTAAACTCCTTTGCGAGTCATTTGCAACTGGACTCCACCCATCTTCCTGTTTTACTTTTCAGCAACTCCTCAACCGCAAGCCTTGGGTTCCAGCCACAAGGATGACACACCCTACCCAGACATGCCTGGGGCTCACCTTCTCCTCCATCACACCTTTCTGAGTTGTTGATTCTACTTAGCATGCTCGACCCCATGGTCTCTGACAGGAAAACTTTTCCCTTTGAGTCCAGGGTTAGATGTTCCTTTGTGTGGCCCGGCTCCTCCTGGGCAGCTCCCATCATCGATCCACCTTGCACTGTAACTCTGTGGAGATTGCCATCCTGTAAAGGTTTTGTACCCAGTACCTTTTGTGCTCCAGCACTGCTCTAGATACTGGTGACACAAAAGAGTGCCAGTAGCTCACCCTTCACCAAACCGGGGTAGTAGAGGCTAGATAGTGTCATGTTAGAGCAGGGACAAAGGGGACAGGATAGTGTCATGTTAGAGCAGGTATGCAGTCTTTCTATGAAATGAAAAATTGCTGGGGCTCTTGGGCAAAGGGTGCAACTATAAACTCTCGGAAGAATGCAGCCTGATATTCTGGTTGTGATGTTCCCTCAACACAGGGATGCCACTGGACCCCAGACTCAACATCCAAGAAAATGTGTGGGTGACTGTCCAAGAAATCACCAGGGTAGCTATGCCCCTTGAACTGCATGTGAAACACAGGTCTTACTATGCCTGCTTCAATAAACTATCACAAACTCAGTGGCTTAAAACAATGGAAGTATATTATTTTACAATTCTGGAGGCCAGAAAAATCCAAAATCGGTGTCAGGAGAGCTCCTGCCTTTTTCAGTTTGTAGAAATCACTAGCATTCATCATCATCTGGTCTCTGTCTGCATCCTCAAATTTAGTAGCAAGGTTTGCTCCAGTTTCTCTCCAACTCCTTCTGTCTCATGAGGCCTCATATGATTTCACTGAGCCCAAACGGACCATGGAGGAAGAGTCCCTTTTGCCATTTAATGTAACATTGTTATAGATTCTAGGGATCAAGACACAGACATCTTTGGTGGACTGCCATTCTGCCTTCCACAGACTTTGAGCAAGATGGACTCAGTTTGGGGACACTAGGCTGGGCCTCAGTCTCATGCCACCCTATCGACTCTGTTCAAAGTAGAACTCAGTAAGGGTAGAGGGTTCACTCTCTTTGGTAAGCTGCACTGGCTGCTGGGGCTCAACTGGGCCACAGAGGAACCAGCCAGGACAAGCAGCAGCCTCGAGCCTGAAGGCAGAGCCCAGGCTTCTCTGGAAAAAGGTAAAACGGGTGGTTTGTTCACCGCCCTTGTATAGGTCCTCGATGCTCACATCCTGTGGGGAAAAGAGAGCCAACTATGAGATGAGATGGGTGTTCTGATTAGGATGTCATCCCTTAATGCTTTGGAAGCTTGGCCAAAGGCTTCAAGAGGAAAGAGTGACTCAGGGATGTCCCTTCTGTAGATCCCAAAAGGCGAGGATCCCCTTGCTGGAAGCAAAGAGAGATGGGGGACAAGTGAGGGGACACAGAGGTACAAAGATTCCTTTGCAACCTGACAACCTGGGCAAGACTGACTCTGTCCTCCAGGATGAGGAGGGGTCTCTCACCTCCAGCTTCAGGGAAGGCCCCTCTCTTGTCTCAACACATGCCAGGCAGCAACTTCCTCCCTGGATCCCCAGGAAGATGGGCACCTTGGAGCGGTCCAGGCCTCGGTTAGGAAGGATACAGATCTTTTCTGGGAGGTAAGACAGAAGGAAACACAAGAAGTGAGAGGACCCCAGATGGAAGGCTTTTTAGCAAGATATGGCTCAGCCAGGAGCAGCTGGGGCTGGGCACACCTGGCCTGTTTCTGCATGGAGACTGCTGGGTGAGTGGAACTCACCAGGGCAGGCTGAGGGTGTCCCTCACCTCTTCTCGTTATCATGGGCACAACATTCTCATGTCTCTAGAGACATGAGAGAAAAAAAGAATCAAAGGCCTGTAACAGATGGAGATTGGGCCCCCTGAGGCTCACCAGCACTGCAATTGTCTGCATCAGGATCTCCCACCAGCAGCTGCCCATTCCGTGTGTACAAAACCTTTTGATGTGCGTCTTTGATTCTGAAATAGGAGGACAACGTTAGTGGCCTGCTGACTTCAGGGATCATTGTGTCTTTCAATTCCTGTACTCTGGACCACCACACTGAGCCTTTGGTGACTCCTCTATTTCCAGAGAGGAGAGGAACACTACTCCAATAAGGGCAGAAACAGTTCCATCCCAAAGCAAGAGCAGGTTTCCTAGGCTCAGGATTGTCATAGGCTCACAGCAGCCAGTGCCTTCTCGAGGAGAGGTAGAGGATGTTTTTCCAGCTGTCTGAGTAGTTGCCTTGAGACTCAGGTATCCTGGGGACACAGTGAGCCCTATCCCAGAACTGGAACCACTCATTAATGAAGAGATTGAGGCTGTATTAAGTGTGATTTGCTTTGTAACCTTAAAAAAGGGAGAGAAACCTGAAAATAAAGTGGGTCACCAGACTCTGAACCCACTTTGGCCAGGTTGAGGTACACACTCTGGGTGAACCAGATACAGGAGGCCAAACCAGAACTAGCTCAGGGCCTGATTAGTCATTGGGGATGGTGGTGTCTCTAATGGCCTTCCTGGGAGGGAAGTATGCACCAGAGAAGCTGGGGAGAAACTGTCATGCATGTGAAGCATCAAAACCATGCCTGTTATTAGCCTAGTTGCCCAGCTGGTTTCAGAGATGCCCATCAATTTCTCTCAGACCAGTGCCACCTCCTCTAAGAGCCTGACTCTGCAACAGCTAGTAAGGGCTGTTTAAGAACAGCTCATCTCTTGTTTTTAAAGTAAGATTACTTGACATTAAGAACAAAGGTCTGCTAAGATCTTGCCACATGACATTCTTCTCAGATTTGGGGAACTGGGGCTTAACAGTTCACCTGCTGGAAGCATTCTATTTAGACACCACTAAGTTATTGCCAGGGAAGCAGTGTGGCGGTAAATACTTTAATATCAGCACTTGGGAGGCAAAGGTGAGCAGAGCTCTGTGAGTTTGAGGCCACCCGAATTATGTACACAGCAAGTTCCAGGCTAGTCAGGGCTATAGTGAATTTTTTTTTTTTTTTAGATCAGTTAAGATCACCATAAAGATGCTGCCATTGGGACTCAAGATTATTAAAGCTTTCTAAGGGCAAGATATGTCAGTTCAGAGAACATGGAGTCTGACCCCACTCCCTGCTTTTGGGTAGTTATATAGCATGAAGAAAATTAGACAATCTCTTGGAGCCTCAATTTCCAAATCTGTAAAACGGGCTTCGTAGTACTCTCCTGACATATTTTTTTGTCTGCCACCAGGAGACAGGGCTGTCGTTATTGACAAAGATGAAGAGTAATTATCCAATTCTTAAGTTTTTTTGTGGCTAGAGGGAGTTTCATTCCTTTGACTTGGCTTTTTCGCTACTCATGTGATCCCCTGACCCTTTGATTGAGAAACCTCCAAAATTACTTACATGTAGTATCTTGCCATGGGAAGGGAGCACATTCCTGCAGTTAGGAGTGTCTGGTCTTTACTGGGGAAAAGAAGAAAAAGGCTGTCAGGAGAACAGTGGTGTGTGTTTGGGGGCAGTCATGCTGGGGCTCAGAGTTACGGAGTCACAGATGCTAGCTCTGTCTGCAGATGCTAGCTCTCAGAAGCTAGAGAGCAGTTTCACCTAAACAGCTACCATCTCACTTCCCAGGCTGAGAGGTGGGTGCTCCACAGACTGGGGATAACCCCAGGGCAGATCCAGTCCCATTTCCCAGCCTGGCCTGATGGTCCCTGCTCTATCCCCCTTACCCAGCAGGGAAGATCACTTTAGCTGGGGAGAACAGGCAGGGTTTGAAGGTTAGGAAGCATCATTCCTGGGAACGGAGCTGCTGACATGTGAGCAGTTGGTCCAAACGCCCCCGCCCTCTCTCTTCAGATGAAAATCAGAAGAGGATTGACACATAGAGATTCATGCTTTTGAAGATGAGCACCCTGACATGACGAGAGTGACCAATATAAACCCCAAGCCACGAAGCTTCCCAGGGCTGTGTTCTTTCTGGAGGAGTATCCCATCCCAGAGCGCCTTCCTAAAATGGTCACTCAGAAAAGTCCAATCCAGAACAGCACACAAGAAACTCAGAACAGACCCAAGCAAGGGAGCAGCTCCCAAGAGTAAATGCAGGGATGATTGGGCCTAAAGACTACACCCGATTCATGCTGAGCAGGAAGGCGGACAAAAAAGAAATAACTATGTGAGAAAGTAGAAGATGAGATAGAAATGTGGGAAGAAATGGGACTTGGAGATGGAAGAAGCGATACTGAGGAGGCAGATAAGGAAGCAAGGCCTATGCTTGATGGCAGAATTTCAGACCTCTTTGGTGTCACTGAGATCTGTGGTCTGGCATTATAAGAAATGGGGATGTAGCCCAAGTAGCTTTTATTATTGGTTACACGATTCTGTCACCTTGGAAAATAATTGGGCTGAAGTTTAAGACCTGTTGAGAGTGAAGGATAACAGGGCATTGATGAGGGTGAAGATGCTGACGATCACCAATGCTATGGACCAGACCCCAAGCATTCTGTGTATTCTGTGATTGCCTATGTTGTTGCCCTGTTCCAGGGAGAGGTAATGGATTGCTCAAATGTTTAGCTATAAAATAGTTCAATTAAATATTTTTACAAGGTTGGAAAGTTGGAAATGCTCTCAATGTCCAATAGTAGGCAGTTGGCTGAAAGAGAATGGCAAATCCAGTAAATAAGAAGTGTATGCCCATTAATGATGACATTTATGACACAAGATTTCCAAATATATGAATTGAAAAATGTAGGTTATAAATAATGTGCACATTAGAATCCCAATTAAATTCATAGCTGTAGAGAGGTACATACATGGGAACAAGGACTGCTGGTGCTCTCACAGCTCTCATTCGCGGCTGACAGGATTGTCAATCATTGTTAACATTCCTCAGTGTTTTTCTGTAGTAGATTTGATTTCTTTTGTAATGTAAGCATTATTCTTTAAAAGCGTGAAGTGTTTAAAGTTATAGGCACCAAAACATGCCTGCACATCTGAATCACTTGGTAAGTCTTTTCTCCAAGCCAGGCTTGGGAAATGATATGTTAGGTCAGTTGTCCTCACTATGTGGGTTTTGTATGTGTGCGTGTGTGTAATGTGTTTGTGTGTGTGGGTGCAAGTACACACATGCCATGGGGTACATGTGAAGGTCATGGGACAACCTCAGTTATTGGTCCTTGCCTTTCACCCTGTTTCAGACAGGCTCTTGTGTTTACTGCTGTGCATGCCAGGCTAGCTATCCCATAGCCTCTAGAGAATCTCCTGATTCACCTCCCACTTAGTCACAGGACCACTGGGATTATAGATGTGCTCTGTTGCATCTGGCTTTGTGTGAGTTCTGGGGATCTGAACTCAGAGCCTCATGCTTTCGTGGCAAGTGCTTTACCCACTAAGTTATCTCCCCAGTCCTCACTCTCTAATGCATATTTCTATATCTTGTGTTCTTGTTAAAATAATGAATCTTTTTCTCTAGGTCTGGGGTGAATCCTGAGACTGCATTTTAAACGTTTAACCAGGTCTTGATAATGCTGCTGGTCCCCCGACCACACCTGGAGTAGTAAAGAAAGGTGAATCATTCCTCTAACTCAGGTAGACTAATAGCTGCACAGTCTCAAAGCAAGTCTGTTTGATGACATGTTCCCTCTGAGCCAGACCACCGAGGCTCCTTTGGTTGTGGCAGATGAGCAGCCAGGAAGCTGGACTGAGGTCCAAGGGTGGCTGCTGAAGCAGATGTCTGCATGAAGCTGCACACCCAGGCTGAGGACTTCAGCTTTTGGTTAATGTCAGCTCAAACAGGCAACAGAAATTCAGTGTTGGTCTATAGGAGTCTGCATGAAGCTGCACACCCAGGCTGAGGACTTCAACTTTTGGTTAATGTCAGCTCAAACAGGCAACAGAAATTCAGTGTTGGTCTAGTCAAACTTGATCCTTGGGGCTCTAGAACTCACCCCTCTTGGCACAGCCCAGACATTCAAAGTTTCCTATAGACTCCCTTGTAGGGTCTCTCTGCCTAGGTTCTGGCTAGTGTATGAAGTTACTTGCTTGTGCTAGCTTGTGGTCACACAGGAAGCCTGGGGTCCTGATGCTCTTCCCAATGTCCCACATACCACGTGACTCCCAAAGCTTTTCCTTCCTTGTTAACCCCCAAATAACCATCCACTCAGTTTGTGTCTGTGTCTCCCTTTTCTTTCTCTAATTTATTCCTGGCCATGGATCTTGGCTGACTCAGACTTCTCTAACTCTCCTGTCCTGGATCAAGTGCCACCAACAGATTCTCCTCATTCTCTTGTATATTGTCTATATGAAAACTGTTGTCCCCAAGAACAACACAAACTTTCATGGAGCCTAAACCAAAGTCATTTTAAGAATTTTTTTTTCTATTTCTCACTGTCTCCTGGGAATCTTTGACATTAGTTGATTTTTTTCACATTTCCCCTTCTATTTGTTGAAGGCACATTGTAGATTCCCTTAGGGTCATCCCTAAGGCTGAGAGTCACAAGCAAACATCCTACATTGATGGGGAATGTCCTTCTGTGTATGTTTATCTTATTGATTGTTGAATAAAGCACGGTGGGCCAAATGAGGCAGCAAGGTAGGTAGGACTAGGAGTTAAGGAGGATTCTGGGAAATGTAGTAAGAGATCCAGGCAGGAAGTGACATAGCAGGCAGACTCAGAATATAAGCAGGAAATCGCTCTCTTTCTCTTCCTCTTCCTCCTGCTCTCTGCTCTGCGGTCACCATGTGACCATCAGGAAGACAGGACACATTCTGCCTGCGTCCTCCATAAGATAAATCTTATGATTATGGCTAATAATTAAGACTGAGCTAGCAGATAGAAATCCTAGTCAATTTGGCCAGCAGCATTGTAAACAATATAAGTCTCTGTGTATTATTTGGGGCCCTAACGTGGCAGGTGGAACTTGGGCGGAACTCAGGTGGCTTGGCGGAAAGCGCCCACTTGTTGGCAGGGTTCTGGAGACTTTGGTGGAAAGACTTATCGTAACACTGCATACTTGTGTTTCCACCTGCGATGGAATTGCAATCTATCACTTCCTCCAGCTGCAGTGACTGCTTTGGCCTAATGCCTCCCGGACCCAGGCTGAACTTCAGCAGACCATAGTACACCCTCCTCTTTGGGTGTACTGTCATGCACACCAAATAAGTATGAGGTTAAGTTAATTATCTTCTCCCAATGTACTGATCTACCTCAATTTTACTTCTCTCATTTCCCTAATATTTCTCTCATTGATGAACTTCAAAGGCTGAGAAGCACTGAAAATACACCTCTCCTCCTTTCTTCAGGAAACATTCCTTTAAAATGTAACTTTGTTTTTGTTTTTAGTACTACAGTAAACAAGCTAGCATCCCTGGTTGCTGGACCTTCAACCCAACCTATGGAAAGCATAAAGGATTCATCTTTTAAGTTCATCTTTGACCATATTGCTGCCCAGTTCTAGAATCTACAATGGCCATCGATTTTGCCACCATCTGGCCCTAGTTTGTGTGTGCAATAGTATATCATTTCTCTCTCCAGGACTCCTTCCTCATCCTCTTCAAGGACATACTCCTAGCTACCATTGGTTTGCCTGTTCAAAAGCCACCCCCCCCAACTCTATTCACATCACTCATATTAAGGTCACTGGGCCTGGCTTCAGTATACACGGGCTCATTATCTTGTCTGTCCAATCACATAACAGCCAAGAATGAGAGCTCAAACACACAGGGCCATGTCCCCTCACGGCCAATCCTCAGGTTCATGACATTAGATTACGTGGTTGTCAAGGTTCTTTCTAGGTCAAATTATGGTTCCATGACTCAAAATTTAATGATTCTCCCCTTTACTATTGTAACACTACTCTGAGCTCCTATTAAACTTTGCTATATTGCTTATTAGTGTGCATTAAGATAATTGTTTGCCTTATGAAAGCTGATAAGATCCTGCAATCATGAAGCATGATGTTTATAGCTCGTTGGAAGCTCTATCCAACCATGTGATTGGCACACACAGGAACTTAATACTAGAACACAGAAACACATGGATCAGGCTTTGACAGCAAGGCTGGATTCCAGAAGTAATTGTGATACCAGTTCATCTTGATTCTTTTTGTTTCTGAGCCTCCAACCTATTCCCATAGGAATGAGACGTTGGGTAAGATGATTATTTTTCAAAAACTGTTAAGTTTTACAAGGAGATGTCGCTCTCTCTTTCTTTTCTATTCTTTTTTTTTTTGTTTTAAAGAAACCAGTTGTATATCTGATAGATGAAGGGGTGATGGAAACTGCTTCAGAGAAGGTGATGTAGACACTAGCACCTTGGTGGCATTCCTACTGTCTACTGAAATGAGTCTCAGGATATCTCCAAGGAATGTCTGTGTGTCACAGACAAAACACAGAATACCAGTGGCCTAGTTGATTTTTTTGTGAGATGATTTTCAAAACT